GAGAGGAAAGGAGAAGGGAAAATGTGAAATGGGAAGGGGAGGAGAAGCGAAAAGGAGAGGGACGATAGAAAAGGAGTGAAAGGGGTGGTGAAAGATAAAGAGAGAGAGAGAGAGGGAGGGAAGGAGAACGTGGTTTGCTCGAGAGATCACGATCCTTGGAGCAAAAGCAAAAGGTCGATCCGTGCTGCACGTTGCAGCACGACTATGCTACGACGGTAGGAACGAACGTTTATTAGAAGCAGAGGAAGCGCCTCTGTGACAAATGGCGTGGTTTCATTGTTGCACGAGGACCCCCGGGCCCCTGCGACAGGGCCACACGGGGCCCCTCTGCGACGTCGTAAATCTGACCAACGCTGACGGATAGAAATCAGAACGGACGGTGGCGCGGTTTTCACGGGCTAGGCCAGAAGAATGGAATGCCGGGGGACACGCGAGATTTTTGGCCTGCACCGAAAAGGAAACCGTGCTCTAAGGTTTCTAACTGCAAGAAAGCAGTCCATCCTCTTCTACTCGATTACACGGATGAATTTTATTCATTGTCGTTGTCACGTCCTGTCTATATGTTACATCCTCTCGGACGGATTGTTACTTCAATTTAATAATTGCGTTGCAGCTCGATGACGCGCAGGTTCTCGCAACTTTTCGTTTCTTTGGATGTTTCGTTCGTAGAATGAATTATGTTTGTTTGATGAATCGTTGGAGCTGTCGAAGAACGGAATGACAGAGACGCGAGATTTTTGGCCTGGTTCTGAGCTAAGAAACATTCTTCCTTGATCGATTATTGAATCTCATGCGTCGTGTTTATTGTTGATGTATATATACACATCTTCTGGTTTAGATTATTATTTCAATTTGATAGTTGCATCAGTGTTACGCGATGCGTAGGTTCTTGCAATTTTTAAATATTTCATTCGTAGAACACAGTGTGCTTTGATTAATTGAAATGACACAGGGGATGCTTCTTCTTTCATTTTCTCTTACGAATTAGTTAGTCGTGTCTATTGTTAGTGTGTTACATATTCTGGCGAATAGTCATTAATACATTAACGTTAATAGTCATTATTTTATTTCGATTATTTTAATTCGTTTCAGTTTAATAATTGTGCCGAAGCTCCTCGATGCTCCTTCTTGCAAGCATTTTGGTTTTTGAATGTTTCACTTGTACAGCACAGAGCACTTCTGATAAATTGTTGGAGCTCACAAAGAACGAAATGCTAGGAGACACGCGGGATTTTTGAAGAAAACTTCAAATTGAGATTTCTTTATTATCCGATTGTCAAATTTCATTCGCTTGTGTCTTTTATTATCATTATTAATGTAAATACGTGTTATTTTAGTTTAATAATTTCGTTAAAGCTTCCTAAACGTACGAGCACAGATATTCGTTTTTGGTTTTTGAACATTTCATTCGCGGACTTGTGTTTTCATTCATTCATTCTCATTCGTTCGCGAATG